GCGCAGACGGACCCGGTGGAATACAGGGTCTACCGTGTTTAGGAACCGTTAAGCAGAACCGAAATTGTGTATTTTTTATATGGGTACCCGGCATTTCCTTATCGGTTCTCATCTGGAACAGAGTTTTGGTTCCCAACCCTAGTGCTCATCCTATTCTTCTCTAAATGTGTGTCCATGTGTGTGTGTGTGTGTGTACCTGAGGTCAATGTTTGTCAGCTGCAGGAACTTGCAGATGTCAGGAGAGCAGCAGGTCAGTTTGTTGAAACCCAGATTGATGTCTGACAGAGAAGAGACAAACTCTGCCAGCCTACAGGAACACCGACACACAGTTAGTACACTGTGATCTCATACACTTGCCGATAAGAGTGTGTGAGTGTGAGTGTGTGTGTGTGTGTGTGTGTGTGTGTGTGTGTGTGTGTGTGTGTGTGTGTGTGTGTGTGTGTGTGTGTACCTGGGGGGTATGGAGGTCAGCTGGTTCTTGCTGAAGTTCACAGAGGTGACAATGGTGTCTGCTGCAGCATCAAACAGCTCCTCAGGAACATCCGCTGCCTGCTTCTCACTAAACACAAAACAAGACTCAGAAATGTATTTTACAAAAATCATTTACTATATAAATATATTTGTTAACTGACCTGTAATCAAGTAACTTGAGAGTCTTAATGCTGTGGACATTAACTCTGGCCTGGCTGGGTAACGTCATGGCCGTCTGTTGTTCCTCTGCTTGGTCAGGCTCCTCTGCAACAAACACACAGTGAGATAAAGCATGAGTAGGTCCAGTCGACTTTAAATGCATCTCAAAGTTTCAGGTGTGATTTCATGATTACTGATGGTAACCATGAAATATGTCTGTGTACAGAAATGCTCTCCGAATTTCCAAAGCGAAGGATTTGTGTCTCATGAACGCCCCCTTTAGATTTAGTAGAGAAAACAGTTGAGAGTTAGCATAAAAGGTGAACTGTACCTTTAATTCTTCCTCTTAAATATTTCAGAAGCTCATTGGTTCCTTTCTGTGGTGAGGACAACAGAAGCTGTTAGAAAATGAATCTGAATGTATGTGAGCAGCTGATGTAAACGCACAGTTGTAGTAAAGAGATCTCACTGATATGCCGTCAACAATGTTTCGCAGCATTGAGGCGAATCATTGATCTGTCAGATAGTGTGTTCAGCAGTGAATTCTAGTGTGAATTCATGTTTCACTCTGTGTGTGTGTGTGTGTGTGTCCTACCTTGAGCAGATCTCTCCTGATTCCTCTCAGAGGGTTTCCCTCCAACAGCAGCACCTTCAGGTCAGGCAGCAGGCTGATAGAGGCTGGAAGACTGACCAGAGAAAGATTCACATTACGTTAATAAATGTCTAATTCGATCTGGAACATGGCTTACACATACCACACAGATTATATCACCTAACATCTAGACATCATTGAAAGGAAGTGAACATGTGTCCATAATAGTTTTCTAGTGAATAGTGCTTTGTTTTCAATGACGATTTTTTTTTATTTTTTAAAGCTGATTCATGGTGCCATTGGTGACTTACGTGCTGAGGTCATTGTTGGTGAGGTCGAGGCGTGTGAGCGTGCTCAGTGTGGAGATCTGTTCAGGGAGAGTCTGGATTTTGTTGTCTCGGAGTTCTAAAAGAGAAATGGCTTTCAGGCAGGATAGCTGCTCCGCCTCCAGTTTCTCAATGTGGTTGTTCCCTACATACAACTCCTGCACACACACAGACAACACCAAATTAAACAAACTGCAAACATTACATAAAATCATAGTCCACTTTGTTGTTAGGACTTTCCCTCTAACACTCGTATGCATTGGACTACATGTTGTGCTTCCCCTTTGCATGAATAACAGGAGGATGGATCAGAAAGCTCGGTCAGCATTATAACTCCACCTGGGGAAACTCTGCTATTGCTATGGTTACCTTGAGCGCGGGTGCAGGGAGCTTTGGGAGGGCGCGGAGCTTGTTGTGTCTGAGGTAGAGCTGCTCTAGAGCCAGCATCTCTGATAGGTTGGCGGAAATGTCAGTCAGCTGGTTGTTGCTGCAGTCAAACAGCTTCAGGTCTGTCACATCAGGAGAGGAGTCAGTCACACCTTGCCATTACTGCGATTCCTTCTACAATAGTTGCTTTTATGATAACTTTCCAGAGTTGTAAATTCCTTTTTACAATCCGTTGTGAGTCTGACAAGGTTTTTAGTATTTTCTTACTTTTGAGCTGTGCCACGCTGTCAGGCAGAGCGCTGAGCTTGTTGTGACTCAGAGTGAGTTTTTGCAGAGAGGTGAGACGGCCCAGGCTGGAGGGGAGGTCCTTCAGAAGGTTGTTGGACAGGTCCTTTTAACCAATCACAACGAACAGTTAACTTAGGTCAACCAATCACACAGCAGAATAGAAGGAGTCTCTATATTTGACGGTATGTGTGGTTGTTACCAGCTGGGTCAGGTTCTCCAGCTGTCCCAGTTCCTCTGGCAGGCTCTCCAGACGGTTCTGCTGCAGTGTCATGCTGCAGAGCTTATTCAGAGAGTACACCTCCACCGGCAGAGCACTCAGCTGGTTATGACTGGGACACAGGAGGACAAACACCCTTCAAAATTTGTCCCCACTCATGTGCTGCTGCCCTGTGAGGCCAGAACCTGTTTATATTTTTCTTTCTTAGTGTTTAATGATGCCTAAATACACATACAGTGGGGCAAAAAAGTATTTAGTCAGCCACCAATTGTGCAAGTTCTCCCACTTAAAAAGATGAGGCCTGTAATTTTCATCCTAGGTATACCTCAACTATGAGAGACAAAATGAGAAAAAAAAAAAATCCAGAAAGAAATCCAGAAAATCACATTTTTAAAGAATTTATTTGCAAATTATGGTGGAAAATAAGTATTTGGTCACCTACAAACAAGATTCGGGCCCGTTTGGCTGTCCTCCCGAACGCATTCTTCCGTAAAGGTTCCAGGCCTCCCGGATCGGTCAGAGGTCTAGAGTTGGGGTATCTTTTAGAAAACCTCCTCAACTTTCAGACACAACGGGTCGCTGTCGGGGTTTTGTAGTGACGAGAATCTCCTCTAGACGTACCTCCTTACCCCGGTTTTATGGTCGTTTGTCACACACTTTTGGAACACTTCTGAATGTCTTTTGCAAACTGGAGACCGTACGGTTGTTTCCCATATATTGTTTC